AAACTACAGTATAACATCTTCCACTCGTTGGATTACAACACATCTACCTTTTTCTTTGATTGTCATATCCTACAAATATACATTTTGATTGCTTTCTTGTCAAATTTATTATGTAGATAACTAGACACAAATACATAGCAAACTCAACCAAATATAGGAATTAGCTAACCGTAGATTTCATGTCCCATAGTGTCTCAAATGAAAAGATGAAACCTAACCTTGCATAGCTTCAACCCAAATCTTCCTAGAACATTCTTTGCGTGTAACATGCTTTGTTGCACAACAATGCACACATTCGATCAAGAAGAACACAAAGAAATAGAAGAGAGAAAATTCAAGGAGGAATATTGGCTACGGTTTTATTGATGACTTCAAGTATGTACAGAGAGAATACAGACGGTACATTTTGAGAGAATTGCTCATAAGGTATATATATGGTTTCAATTTATTAATTATAGTTTTATTCTATTTAACCACTTACGAAATATAATCTATCAAATATATCTCTACTAAATCTTTACAAAATATCTATCATATATATCTCTGCCAGATCTTTACGAAATATTACTATATATATCTCTACCAGATCTTTTACTATAAAGTCATTAGACTCTATACCCCAACAATTCTACACTTGGGAGACTCATCCAGTCAACCAAGAATTTCATTTTCAATCTTCATTGCATCATATCAATTGAGGCTTTACACACCCTCAACTTTCTAATATCAACACATTTTGCCTAACATGTCAACTGGATTTTTTGCACCTTCTATCTTTCGTCAAACACATCATCTTTCACTAACCTGCGAGTGAAGTGGTATCACCTTCTATGTTTTATCTTTGAATGATAGACTAGGTTCCTCACTAACTGCATGATACTCTGACTATCTACTTGAAGAATCTTCTCGTGCTACTTCTTGTCGAATTCTTCTAAATAATTTACCATCCATATCATCTTCTTTCCAGCTTCAGCGATTGCCACGTACTCAACCTCAGTAGATGAAAGAGCAACACATTTCTAAAGCCTAGACATCCCATCATGCATGGCTTGCTCCCACTTGGTTGTATCCTCCAACTGTAGGGCCTCATCAAAGAGCTCTGATTCCTCTTCATCCTCATCTTCATCCATCAGCAATAGATAGTGTAATGAAGGTACATACCTAACTGTTACTTTGATAGCTCTGAATGATCTTTTCAACAACTACTCAGGTGGTCAGGTGCTAGGTGCTCCACCTCTGGTTCCTCCGCAACAGTCTCAGGAGTTTTTTGAATTTCTGCTACATCACCAGGTAAATCTTTCTACAACTTAATATCAACTCCCACTTGCTTCATTTTCTCGGAGTCTCTCTTCTATTTGTCCTTATACAAGATATTTTCATCAAAAGTCACGTCACAGTGTCTCAGAACTTTTCAATTCTTGACATCCCAAAACTTGTACTCAAATATATCCGAACCATAGTCCATTAAATAACAATTCACATGCTCTGCGTCAAGCTTGTCACTTTTCTTTAGATCAACATGTACATACACAGTACAACCAAAAGTTCTCAAGTGAAAGTAGTAGAATTATTTTCCTATCCATACTTCGTAACTTGAACTCCAAGGGTACTGACAGTCCTTTATTGATCAAGTAGACTGCTGTATTTACAGCATCAACCCATAATTTTTTTGGCAATCCAGAATGATCCTCCTACTCTTTGTCTGCTATTCAATGTTCTATTCATTCTTTCAGCAACATCATTTTGTCTTGCTTTACTAGGAACTTTCCTCATTAATCAAATTCTCTCAATTGCACAAAATGCTTTGAATTTGAACTTGTCGTACTCTCCTCCGTTGTCAAACCTTAGGCATTTGATCTTCAAGTCGGTTTGATTTTCAACTTTAGCTTTCCACTTCTTGAAGGTGACAAACACCTCTAACTTGTGTTTCAGGAAATAAATCCACACATTTCTGCTAAAATAATCGATGAATGTGACGTAGAACTTTGATCCGCCAAGTGATGGAATTGGAGATGGTCCCCAAACGTCTGTATGGACCATTTTCAACCACACTTTCTTCAATTCTCTAGCAGTTTGTGTGGAGCTAACTTGTTTCTGTTTTCTCATGACGCAGTTCTCACAAGGACCCATATCAAAAAAATTTAGACCTTCAAAAACTCCTTTCGCAGCCAACATTTTCATTCCTTTGACGCTCATATGTCCAAGTCTATTTTTTTATAAACTTAAATTTTAAGCACTCTTAGCAACAACAGTCATATTCATACACCCTGCAGTGGTGTATAAGGCTACCATCATAACACCCTTCACAAGCTTCCATGAACTCTTCCCAAACTCTGTTATAGAACTCTTCACAAGCTTCCATGACCAATAGAGATCAGGTTCTTCTTGAGACTAGAAATATATCTGACATCCTTTAATGTCCACTAATTTCCTGCCAAAGTTTTTATGCAGACATCCCTTTTTTCTTCAATCTCCAAGCCTTTGTTGTCGGCAAGATACGCCTTCTCAAAACTTTCAGACTTGAAATTTCTGAACAACTCTTTATTTGGAGATGAATGAAAAGATGCACTTGAATCCAAAATCCAAGATTCAATCGGACTGTCCATCTTGAGGATTAGAGCATCCCCAATATCTTTTGCTTAATTTATAGAATCATTATCATCCTCTGATTTGTGATTATGGTTCCTCTTTGGTCTTGTACAATCTATTCGAAAATGACCTTTTCCTCCACAACTCCAACCCATTATGTTTGGTCTGCTTGGAACATTTTCACGGTTCGTTGATTTTGATTGTTCTTTATTTGGGTCAATCAATTTACTTCTTCCCCTTTGGTCAACACTGAGAGCACCACCAGATGAATCTCAAGTTTCACGTTTGCAAATACTTTCGTTGAGAACTACATCTCGAATTTCATCGAACTTCAGTTTCTTAGATCCTCGAGAATTGCTGATCGCGACAACAATAGTATCCCACTACTCAGGTAAATATAACATCAAAATCAATACTTTAATTTCATTTTCGAAATTAATTTCCACCGAACTCAATTGTCTTACAATCCTATTGAATTTGTTTATATGATCAGCAACAAATTCACCTTTAGACATTTGTAGATTGAACAATCTTCTCATCAAATACATCTTGTTCATAGCCGACGGTTTTTCGTATATATTCAACAACGCCTTCAACAGATTTGACGTTGTCTTCTCTTTGATTATGTTGAATGCCACGTTTCTGGATAGCGTCAACCGAATCAACCCTAGGGCTAGACAATTTGTGTGCTTCCACTGCTCCATGGTTATGGTATTTGGCTTCACCCCCAACGGGGTTTCGTGAATATCTTTCTAGTACAAATAATCTTCAATCTGCATCTTCGAGAAAGTGAACTCGAGAATCCATCAAACTTCTCAATTTCAATCTTTGAAATTTTCATCTTCATAGATTGTGATGAATTTTGCCCAGCTCTGATACTAGTTGTTAGGATCACACAACAACACACACTCTTGATCAAGATGAACACAAAGAAATAGAGAGAGAAAATTCAAAGACTGGATAATGGGTTTCAGTTTACTAAATATAGTTTTAACAGATTTAAAAACTTACCCAATGTAATCTACCAAATATATCTCCACCAAATCTTTACGAAATATCTACATATATCTCTACCATATCTTTTACTATAAATAGTTATCAAGCTCCATATCCCAACACTCAATTCTTTCTTTTTCTTTTTGCTACACCATTTTGTTATGGTGTGTTGACACATGTACACTGATGACGTATCCCACACTTTTGTAGATATTGATCGAATTCATCTAACATGTATTCTTCGCCATTATCTGTACGTAGGCAATGAATATTCATTCCTACTTCTTCTTCGATCGTCATCTTGAATTGTTGAAATTTTTAGAATGTGTAAGACTTTTCTTTCATAAAGAAAATCCACACATATCTCGAGTAGTCGTCAATGAATGTCACCATATACCGCATCCCATTGATTGATGTTTGTTTGATTAGATCAAACAAATCAAAGTGAAATCAAAGTGAATAAACTCTAATAGTTCTTTGCTCGAAACTTTGACTCTTTGTATGATAATTGATGAGTTTTACCATATTGACATCCAACGCAAACATTTATTTTGACTTCAAAATGTGGTAGGCCTTTGAGCATGAATTTCTCCATGATCACCTTCCAACTTGTAGTAGCCAACATGTCCCAATCTTGCATGTCTAGATCTGCTGTCTCATTCTTTTGAGTCTTGTCTACATAGGTAGACTTTGCATATATGACGTAAACAGATTTATTACCAGGCATGATTGTCGTATTGTAGACCTAAGCAATTGGCAATTGTGTGTTGTTGGTTGTGCGTACCACATACTCTTTCTTATCGTGTAATTTCCTTTGGTCGTCAGTCATGTAGTTTGAGCATCTTAAATCAACGATCCAGTCATTCTCATAATCGATATGCTCTCTCACCATCACCATGAGTCCTAATTCGTCTTCTTTTAAGGCACATAATACATCTACATCTCATTTATCATCCATTTTCATTTTGGAGGTTGCCACATTAGTTTTGATAGATTTTTTCTTGGACCAACCATGATATATGGCCTAGGGCCCTTCTTTAAACAATTATAGCAAATGGCTTTAAATACTAATAATTTTTTAAATTGGCTAAATAATGATTCATCTATGCTTTAAATAGCTAAGTTGGGTGGAAAATAAGTTTTTTATTTAATAAAAAAAAAATCATTTTCTTGACTTGGTATTTGGACGATTCTGGGCAAGTGTTTTCTTTTGAATGGTTGGGTGGGAAAAGTCAAAAAAAAAAAAAAAAAAAAAGACTTTGTGACATTTCTTTTGAGTCTACTTTAGAGAGTCTTTAGACGAAAACTTAATTGAACAAAAGAGCACGTTGATTTGTTGACTTTTGAAGCAACTCTTATGTTTCCAATACTAAAAATCTCTCCCACTACGTTCATTCCAAACCCAAATCGATGCCGAACTCTAATTTGATGAGCTTTCTACTCCTCCTTTGCTACCACTTACTGTCTGCTCCCTTTCCAATATCCGTGGAGGCTTCAACGCCATCTCCGCTTCAACTAGAAGCCGACGCTCTCCAACAAAGCGGCTGGTGGGTCGGTCGAAACATCTCCCAACACTGTCAATCGAAAGGCAGCATCATTTGCGATGCTTCAGGAAGCATCATTGATATCTTTGTTGATTGGAAACTACCAGCTGGATCTACTCTACATAACCTTAACTTCTCTTCCTTACCCAATTTGGTGAGTCTTTACATCTTTAATTCCACTCTCCAAGGGAGCATCCCTCCTCAAATAGCTCTCCTATCCAACCTTACTTTTCTACACCTATCTCGAAATCATCTTACAGGCCATATTCCTTTAGAAATTGGGAATTTGACCAATTTATTGGAGCTTCATTTGGATGACAACATGCTTACCGGTAGAATCCCTTTCGAAATAGGAAACTCATCGAAGTTATCAAAGCTTCGTCTACATCGAAACCTACTTACTGGTACCATCCCTTCAGAAATTGGGAAGTTAATGGATTTGATGGAACTCCGTCTAGATTCAAACATGCTTCATGGTACAATCCCTTCTCAAATGGGAAATTTCACTAACTTATTTTGGTTATCTCTCAGTCAAAACAGGCTGATGGGTACAATCCCTTCAACTCTGTGCCGTCTCCCTGTTCTTTCCGTTTTAGATATTTCTGGGAACCGATTAAGTGGAGTGATTCCTCCTGAGATAGGGAACATCACCAATTTGAGGACTCTGTCTCTTGGGGATAATAATCTCACCGACCCGTTTCCTTTGGAAATTAAAAGCCTCTATAGATTGGAACAACTTTACGTACAGAATAATGCATTCATGGGTCTCATCCCTTCCTCTGTTTTTCAACTCACTAACCTGAAGGAGTTGAATCTTGCGTCCAATAGTTTTAGTGGCTCCATTCCTTCAGAAATTACACACTCCTTGCAGTTTTTGGATGCGAGTTGCAACATGCTCACTGGGTCCATTCCATTCAATTTATTTGACCTAATTTCTTATCATTATTGGCTACAAATTGACCTTAGCCATAACTCCTTCAATGGTCCTATACCTTCTATGTCCATAGGCCCAAGGGAACTCCATGGGGTTACCATGAACCTCAGCTACAATAAGCTCACAGGCTCAATTCCTGATTTTCTCATTCATTTTCATCACATTGATTTATCCTACAATTGTCTTCACGGCCCACTTTCAAACCAATTTCTTCATCATTTTGGGGTAGATGTTGGTTTGGGTAATGAAAACTTATGTGGAAACCACTCCCAACTTCGCTCTTGTGCTTCACACAATCACACAGTACACAAACTATTGAAAATCCTTCTTCCCTCGCTTATTTTGTTCATCCTTTTCGTTGTTTGCTTCACTCTTTATTGTTCACGAAAATCAAAGAATACCACCCATGTGACAGAGGTAGATAGCCATGGAAATGTGTTCTCCATATGGAATTATGATGGTAAGATTGCTTACCAAGACATTATAGACGCAACCGAAGACTTCAATATCAAATATTGCATTGGCACAGGTGGGTTTGGGAGCGTCTACCGAGCAATGCTTCCAATTGGAAAAGTTGTAGCTCTAAAGAAGCTTCATAGTTCTGAAGCAGCCAAATGGGTAGCCCTTAACGAGAGTTTTCAAAATGAGATTGAGATGCTAAAAGAGATTAGGCACAAGAACATCGTAAAGCTCCTTGGTTATTGCCTCCATAAACGTTGCATGTTTCTCATTTACGAGTACATGGAGAGTGGAAGCCTATTTTGGGTGCTAAGCAATGATACAGAAGCAGAGGAATTGAAGTGGAATAAGAGACTAAATGTCATTAATAGAGTTGCCCAAGCTTTGTCCTACCTACATCATGATTGCAATATGCCTATCATTCATCGAGACGTTACAACCAATAATATACTTTTGGACTCGAATCTTGACGCTTTTCTGCCGGATTTCGGGGTAGCAAGATTTCTTGATGTTGAATCTTCAAATCACACCGTGGTTCGCGGCACATATGGCTACATAGCTCCAGGTAATTACAAATATCGATACCTACTAGTTAGTTTTAGTTTGGCTTATTTTGGGTAACTATTTGATTTTTGAATTTTCAGAATTGGCATACACGAGGGTCGTTACAGAAAAATGTGATGTTTATTGCTTTGGAGTAGTGGCATTAGAAACAATAATGGGAAAACACCCTCGAGAATTGTTAAACGACATATGGTCGAAATCTACTCCAAATGTAGCTATCAAGGAATGGTTGGATATGCGTCTAAGATCTCCTTTAACCCAAAATGGAGTAGCTCAAAGAATAGTTGTTGCACTAACGCTGGCTTTTGCATGCATCCATCCAAACCCAACAGCCCGACCAACAATGCAGCATGTGAGTATACAACTTCTTGTTCCCAGACCTGGTCTAGAAATCTCATTCAATGAGATTTTAGTTGAACAAATTTTAAGACAGGAAATTTACCGTGTAAATATAATTTCAGAATAATCATTCTGAGAGTTAGTGTCAAAAATATCGATTACATTATATAATTGGATCAAACTCTTGCTTTCTTTTGATTGTGTGGGAAGAATATGATGTTTACCTATGGATTTAGCTTTTACGTAAGAGTTAAAAAAAACTTAATAATTAATGGATTATCTTATCTATAGCTACTTATGTCATCTATAAATAAACTCTAGATGCTGGTGGGCGAGGTCAACCTTGGCACAAATCTAGTCGATTTGTCCGATTGGAGAGGAGTGTCATGTTCTTGCTTAAATTCTCGTGCAATTCTAACATACATTTTGAGAGGTAGTGAGAGAGTGGAGGTGGTAAGTTGGACGAGAAGATTTTGGAGTCGAGGTCCTTTATGGTATCAAATATCAAAGTCTTGAAAGAATATAGTGTTATCTATCATTACTACTCCAAATCTTATTTTCATTCACGTGGCAAGCAACATCCGCGTTTGGAAAACTCTTTCATCGAAAGTTATCTAGGCAACGCTCTTAAGATTCGAGGAACTGCGAATATTGAAGTATAATTTGGGAATCTTGTTGATGCACAATGCTACTAGAGTTGTGAAGCATCTGCTCATAAATTTGCTTCCGTGGAAGTATCGACCATAGTTGGTCATTGGAACACTTGGAATTCTGATGTCTCTAGGGTTGTTCAGTTTATGTTGTCCATAACGGTGGAGGCTCAAGGATCAATAGACTCTAGGACTGATTCAGTTGGCACTATCAAAAAACGCAGTAGAGCTCAAAGATCGATAGACTCTAGGGTTGATCCCATTGACGCTATCCAAAAATGCGATGGAAGCATCTGATCCAATTGACGCTGTCCAGAAACATAGTGGAAGTTTAAGGATCAATAGGCTCTAGGGTTGATCCAGTTGGCACTATCAAGAAATACAGTTGGAGCTCAAGGATTGGTAAGCGTTAGGGCTGATCCAATTAACCCTATCTAGTTACGTAGTGGAAGCTCAAGAATTGATAGACTCTAGGGTTGATCCAATTGATTCTATCAAGAAATTTTTGTTTAAACAACGACAGATCTATTGAAGGTACTGGTACAAAAAATGTTAGACAAGATAGTAAGAGAAATGAGTTCAAAGGTTAATTAAAGATTTCACAAGTGCATGAAAGAGGCAAGTGATACTTGTGGAATTGTTCCTAGTAGAGTGAGCATGGGAGAGGGAAGCGAGCCCGTAAAAATGCTCAAAGAAGTGAGCACATATGTATTTCTTGAGTCATTGCCTCCGTGCCTAAAATGGGTGATTTAACCAGAAATATTAAACCAACATTTGCTCGAAAATGAGCACCAGACTATACGTAAAAGGCATAGAAGAATGAAGTTGTAGCGAGACAAGAAAGAGTATTAGTGTTGCGTTTGCCACGTAAAATGCTTAAGTAAAGTGTTCGTTGGAGAGACTCTGAGGAAATGTTAGAGGTTAATCTGTTAGATTTATTCTTCACTTGCTCTTCCAAAGTTCAAAGTTCAAAAGTGTCCTAATTTAATTGGTCTTCGATTCCAATTCAGCAGCCACATCATCTCAATTATTTCCTATTTCATCTTGTTTTAATTTTAACTTCTTGGTTTTAGCTATGATTTAAGTAATTCAAAAAACGTTGGAACTGTTATTCCAAACTTTACACTATGAACCGTTCAAAATACTAATAATTGTTAATAATTGAAGGTAGATTTGTTATGATCATAAAGGCAACAACGTTATGATCATAGAGACAAAAAAAAAGGGATATACCCACATATACTAGTAAATTTCTTAAAAAAAAATGACCTAGGAGGCTTGGTTCATAGTGATATCCTATAGGCTACTATAGATATTAAGAGTGGTAGTGTCAAATGAAATCATAGAGTAGGTATGAATTAAAAAAAAAAAAAAAGAAGAAGAAGAAGGTGATTTAGGCTTACCAAATGAAATTTTATGAACTAACACCATGAAGTACAATCATTATACACTTGAACTAGTTTAAAAAATATTACGGGTGTCTTTAGTGAAGTTTGAGCTTTGGGAATAGTGAAATATAGAAAACATTCTCGCATTGGCACGAATTGAAAGGTATAAAGCTAAGTTTGAGAACGACTATGGTGTGGGAGTTATGAGGTGATTTTTGAACTATGATTTGGATAAGGTGATACGATCATGTACAAAGTTTTATAGGTGTATATAGAGATAGGCTATGATATGAGATTTTCATAGTACGACCTACCGCTATGAGACCACAAATTGAGAGAGACAAAAATTCACAATGACTAAAGTGTAATAATTATTTCCAAACCAACTAGGCATCGTACTTATGATAATTGTTGTGATACTTCTACACGAACATGGTTCAATAATATAATGTGATTAGTTTTGGATATTTAGTGTATCTAGGTTTCTCTACACCAACATGAGGTCACAATAAGTGACCTCAAGTAAGTTGCTAGTAGACTTTTTAACTATAAAGATGTTACCTTATTTAAAATTTCAGGTTGTTTACTTAAAACTAATTTTTTAAATCGCTTGAGGCTCCCACTGCCAAGCTAGTTACAACATTTATGAAGTATTAGATTTGAAGGAAAGTTCTACTAAATCCTAGTGTTATAATGGAATTGGAAGGAAATAACCCCTTTTTCAGATGTCATTCCTTGTGATCATAGGAAAATTATACAAAAATGGAGTGGAAGCTCAATGATCGTTACGCTCTAGAGTTGATCCAATTAACACTGTCTAGAAATATATTGGAAGGTTAAGGATCAGTAGACTCTAGGGTTGATCCAGTTGACACTATCAAGAAATTCAGTGGGAGCTCAAGGATTGGTAAGCTTTAGGAATGATCCAATTAACGCTATCTAGAAGCGTAATGGAAACTCAAGAATCGGTAGGCTCTAAGGTTGATCCAATTGATGTTATCCCTAAATTTGGTGTTTAACATCGTCAAAGAGAAGACAACAACAAATCTATTGAGGGTGCCGTTGAATATATACAAAAATTTGTTACAAACAAGACAATAAGAGACATAAGTTCGAAGGTTAATTAAAATTTCGCAAGTGCATCACAAGTGCTAGATTGGGTAGGGTACTTGTGAGTCAAAATCAAAATAATTTTGGGTTGAAACCAAAGTTATTAAGTGGGTGGTTGAGGGTTTAGGGTGAATATGAGAGAGGCAAGTGATGTTTGTGGAATTGCTCCCAACTTAGTGGGCATGGGATGTAAAAATGTTTAAAGAAAGTGAGCACAAGTGTATTTCTTGAGTCAGTGCCTCACGCTTAAGATGAGTGATTTAACAAGAAATGTCAAGACCAACATTTGCTCAAGACCAACATTTGCTCAAGAATGTTCGATTATAACAGCGCAAACCTCCGATTCTTCCATTTCCGCTGCAAATGACAAACAGGCCAATGCCGGTAGCATAATAGCCTACAGCTTCTCGGCCCGTGAAAGGTACCAATCAAAGTATATGACCGAAAGATAAGTTGTCTGGCAACCTAATCAAAACACATTTCTTGTTTTGAGAATCCATGCAGTTGCTTCCAAATGGGCACATTCGACCCAGTTCCCAAACACCAAAATTTTATCTTTTCTAAACCCAAAACTTGTCTCCTTTGCAAGTAACGTATTCACAATAATCATCCTCTGCTGGACTTCGATTTCCAATGTCAATGAATGTGCATTCCTCCACAATTTCCTCATCCAAACAAAGAGTGGCATTGAGGTGGTGGAGGGGAGATTTAGGGGGAAGTGGGTAATAATTTTTTTTTCCCAAAACCTACGTTTGTACATATTAGGTAAGAATCATCGGCTAACCTGTAATCAAGTGTATGGGTATACATATGGGCGGTACCGGTGTAGGGGTATACATACGAGCTCCACCAAATGGGTTCATGCGTGTGTGAGAGTGTGAACAATATCTGAGAAGTACTATGCATCCAACACTACCTGAAAAAGAAAGTAGAGCCTTAGAATAATCACAAAAAGTTAGATCTCATTGTGAATGAAAGAAGTTAGATCCTTTTGGCTTAGTGAATGCAAGAGAAGCATAAAGAAGTCTAGATGAGCCCAAAATACCAAGATTTGCTGGATAACGAGTCTTGATGATACTAGCTTTGGCTCGTGTGATCATCGGATGAGAGTCAAAGAAGAAGAGGAATTAGCAACAGGTTCAATAGAAGTCGGATCAAAAGTCGATGAGGGCAAAGAGGAACCTGCAAGAGAAGTATCAACTTGCACAGACTCATCCACAAGGTCAGAACAAATACCACACGGGGATGAACTAGATCGAGGAATGTGCGGTGATGAAGTGGTAGGGGGGAAGAATCAATTGGTAAAGATGCGGGTCCAAGAAATTTGAAATATGAAGAGAGGAAAGAGGTTGGGTCTGGGAGCTAGGGACGACAGAAAAGTGAGTTTTATCAAATTGAGCGTGGCGGGTGATGTATAGCTTGATGGTGGTGGGATCAAGACAACGAAACTCTTTATGAGCAGGACTAGAACCCAAAAAATTGCAAGGAGTGCTGCGGGGAGAAAACATATAATCACGCAAGCAAGGATAAACATGACAACCAAAGGGATGAAAATTGTCATAATGCATATAGTGGCGTAGAGGAGTTCAAAGGGTGACTTACCTCCAAGAAGTAGAGTACGCAACCAGTTGATAATATAAGTTACAGTGCTGAAGTCGCCAATCAAAAAACGAAGAGAAAGATACGAGTGAAAGAGAAAGACCAAGCCAGTCTCAGTCACATGATGATGTTTTCTCTTAGCACGACCATTTTGAGTAGGTGTATATGGACAAGAGAGTTGATGGTGGATGCTAGAATTACGTGAGTTTTGAAACAAGTGCTAGGAAATTCAGCACCTCCATCGCTTTGAAAAACCTAGATACGAGCATAATATTGATTTTTCACAAATTTTTTAAATTGAATAAAAATATTAAAAAAAATCAGATTTAAATTTTAAAGAGTAAGTGAATCGAGAATAATCATCAATAAAAATAACATAGTAAAGAAAACCTCAATTGGATTTG